TGGCTGACCCTGGTGTGTCTCACAGAGATGACATTTGCTATAGTCTTCAGGAAAAGGGCAAAATTGGTGAAGGTCAGGGGTCACAGGGGTTGTGGGAAGGGGAAGACTGGAATTTTAGAAAGATAGAAGTATCTCTGTGTGTGTGGGTGTTGGGGGGCTGTTCATGAAAGAACAAGGTATGTTTGGAGGGTGGCTGCTGTTTCTCAATATTAGAAAATTCTAGATTCTGTTACTTACTGTATTTATTTTATGTCTTTCACCTATGGCCTGCATCCCAAGGACAATTAGTCTCCTATTCCCCTCTAGAAGTCATTGAATATAAGCTGATTTAAACTCAAAATTAGCCCACTCATGAGGGTCACTAAAGAAGAGACCATCAAAAGCACCAATAGTACAGTTTGATGAGTACTAACCCCATTTTAACATGGTCATGTTTAATTCTCATAATATCTCCATGGACTAGGTACTATTATTTTTCCTGTTAAATATCTTTTTAGTTGTAGATGGACACAATACCTTTATTTTATTTGTATATGGTGTCAGGGATCGAACCCAGTGCCTCACGCATGCTAGGCAAGCGCTCTACCACTAAGCCACAACCCCGGTCTCTTATTTTTCCTTTTAAAAAGTGAGAATATGGAGGCACAGGGAGGCTGGGGATCTTGTCCAAAGTAAGACTAGTTAGCTGTGGAACCTGGTTCTAACCCAGGCAATGTGACTTAACGGTCACCACTCTCAGCCAATGAGCTATCCTCCCTCAAGACGAATGCACAGTCATGACCAGGAGAAAAATGAATACTTCGAGTATCCCACTCTCCAGGAGCTTTCTCTCACTCAGAGAAACAGCATAATGGTGAGGATGTCTCATACCAAGGAAGCTTGTGACACAGAAATGTACCACCTAGATCTGCCTGCAAAGAAGGACTGATGCCTATCTTGGGGTGAGGGACCTCTTCTGTCCAAGGTTAAGTCCCTTCCCAGGATGGACCACATATAGCGACTGATTCGGGGTGAGGGGGGTATCTAAAGGTCCAGTTATACAGGCCCAATATTCTGATGGACCATGTGAGGTCCAGAGCCGCCACTGGGGTTGGGGAGGTGGTTGGGTGCACACTGCAGCTCAACTTCTCCTTCTGTCCCATCCTGCTTCCTGCCCCTCCCGCCACAGCTGCTGACCCCATGGGTATTCCTTAATGAACATCCTGCCACTCTGTCTCAAAGCCTGCTTCCCTGGGGACTTAATCTATGACATCAATTCCAGTGAAGAGAAGTCTGTGTCCTCTCTGATTCCTTTGTAACTTCCTTTCACATTGGTTTCCTTTGATTTTTCAACTTCTAGAAAAATATCTAAGAACAAAAGTTGGTAAAATTCTCAAAGGTAAGTCATATAGTCACCATCCCCTTTTTGTTAATATACTTTAGTTTTTCGAGTAGTTATAGATTCCCATGAAAATTGAGCAAAAGTTACAGAGAGTTGGCCTGTAAGCTATTCCAAGCCCTGCACTCCCATCCTTGAGCTCATTTTTTCCCAATCTTAGCACCTATCTCCCTTGGTTCGGCCTATTGATATATATTGTGGAAGTAAACTTCTTTACAATCAAAACTTTTACCAGAATTATTTCTATTATTTTGTAATTTTTACTTTTAACATTTGATTATTTGGTAGACTTGATTTTAATAGGCTCTTGCCTTGTAGCCTGGGCACGATCCTAAAGCTTTCAGAGTCAGGGTCCCACCTCCAAAATTGAAATAATAACCTTTGGGAGGGTTTAATTACATATCCTAATCCTAACTCAAGACAAAGTGCCTGGTGGTTTTTTTTTTTTTTTTTTTTTTTTTTTTTTTTTTTTTTTGAGGGGCGTTGCCAAGGATTGAACTCAGGGGCACTGACCATTGAGCCACATCCCTAGCCCTATTGTATTTTATTTAGAGACAGCATCTTACTCAATTGCTTAGTGCCTCAATTTTGCTGAGGCTGGCTTTGAACTCATGACCCTCCTGCCTCAGTCTCCTGAGTCGCTGGGATTACAGGCTTGTGCCATCACTCCAGGTTGCTGTTGCTGCTGCTTCTTCTTCTTCCTTTTCTTTCCTCCTCCTCCTGCTGCTGGGGATTGAACCCAGGGCCTCACTGATGCAGGCAAGTGCTCTCCCACTGAGTTATACCCCACCCACTTTTTGATTTTTACTTTGAGACAGGGCCTTGCTAAGTTGCCCAGGCTGGCCTCCTGGTCAGGCTCCTGAGTAGCTGGAATATCAGATATGCACCACAAAGTCTAGTTGCTGGGTGCCGTTTCGCCAGGCATGGTGGCCCATGCCTGTAATCCCAGTGGCTCAGGAGGCTGAGGAAGGAGGATCATGAATTCAGTCAGCCTGGGCAACTCAGCCAGGCCCTAAGCAATTCAGTGAGACTCTTTCTCTAAATAAAATATAAAAATGGGCTGGGGCTGTGGGGCAGTTTTGTATTAATCTGGCACAGTAAAGGATTCAGTGAATGTAAATTTCTTATGGCTTCAGTATCCCAATGCCAAAACTGAGTGGATCAAAAAACCATAGAAATTTATTTTCACATTATTTGGCCAGACAACTAAACACAGTTGCTGCACATGTTTAAGTCAAGGCTCTAGAGGGGATCCCTGTCTTTCCTGTTCCAGCTTCTGGTGGCTGCTTGCTTTCTTGCCTGGTGGCCACAGCATTACAATCTCTGCTTCCATAGTCACATTACTTTCTCTTCATCTCTGTGTTAGATTTCCAGCTTTCCCCTTGTAAGAGTTTTTGTGGTTGCAGTTAGGGCCCACCCTGATAACCCAGAATAATTTCCGTAACTCAAGACCCTTACTTCAATCACATGGGCCTAGACTCTATTTTTATTACCAGGTTAACATTTATAGGTTCCAGAGATTGGAATCTGCTATCTTGGGGGAGGGAGCATTTTTCAGACAACTACATAGGGTAGTTGACAATTTCTGCCCATTGTGTGTGTGTGGTGGGGTGCTGGTGATCAAACCCAGGGCCTTGTTACATCCTCAGCATCTGTGCTATCTTTTAAAGGCATAGTTCTAAGCAGTTCACTTTGGGATCAGTAAAGTAGTCCTTTGCCCCTTCTGGCTTGTCATTAAAAGCCATCTGCCCTATTTTAAGGATTTTTCTTTACTCTCTCTCCCAGAAGGGATAGTGGTTCCAAAGGGAGTCGGGTACCTGTTCTATAAAGTCCCAGTAGTAGATGGAGTCCTGTTTGGAGCATCTTTCCAAGGTTTTAATTGTGGACACATTCTAGCACAGTTCCCCAAATTTACATTTTCCTGATTCAATAGATTGGGCGATGTCTAGGAATACATTTTCCCCCCAAAGTGTCTCAGGATTCTTTTCATCAGCCAAGATTTGGAAATACTGATTCCTTCTACAAATCCCTGAACTGAAACCCTCGAAATAGGGGATTCCCCTTCCTGCTTGCTGGGTGTGTCACACGGTTCCATGACTGAATTTTTATTGGGAGGGTGGGGTAAACAAACAAAAAAAGAGCATCCCTGAAAAGTGAACAATCCTCTCTGTACAGTATTCACTGAAAGTGTTCCCTAGAGGGAAGATTTACAATTCCTAATGAAATAGAAAATGACGACGGCCGGAATTTGGCAGTTCTGTAGCTGTCATTAGCTCGGGATCTCTGACGGATGATGGATCGAGCCCGGCCGCACCCTCGGCTTGAGCCAACGCTTTTCAGAGTGAAAGCAGCTTCCGCGAGGGGGGCGAGGTCCCTCCACACCTAGTGCGGGTGTCCATAGAGAAGAACTTTCCCAGTGGGGTGGGCGGGGAGTGGCTTTCAGCGTCCCCGCCCCGCCCCCCATAAGAGGCAGCTACTGCAGAGTGGCGCGGGCAGGGGGCGTGGGGAGATGTAGGTATATTTATTCTGGCCTGAGAGTCGGACGCTGGGAGTGCTACAAGCTACCAGAGGAACTATTATTGTCCCAGCAGTCTGATTCTTCAGAGAGGACCAAGAACCTCGCACCCCTGGTTGGCCAGGTGGGGGCAGCCGTGTTACGGTGACTTTATGCACAGAAAATTTTGTGGGAGTTTGAAAGTTCCTTTGGGAATGCTGGGACGCCGAGTAAGTCTCAGCAGGGATCGCTGAAAAAGTGGTGTCCACCTCAGCCATAGGGTATAAAGGTCATGTTCGACCACGGCGTGTGGGGGCGCAGCGTCTTCAGATTCAGCCGGAGGTGACTGGGGGCTCAGTTGGGCGTGATGGGAGACACAGGTACAGGTTCCGCCGCAGGCGACAGCGGAGCAGTACGAAGCTCAGCTGAAGTCAAGTGGGGCGTGGGTTCAGGTTTGACCAGGCCAGGTGCGCGCTACCAGCACAGGTAGGAGCCTGAAAGGCACCGCACGGGACGCTGTAGGGGGCTCTGTCCGGTCCGCGGCGAGCCAGGGCGCTGTTCCGGCTCGCGGCAGCGAGAGGCGCTGAGTCGGGAGAGTCTACAGCTCTCGGCCCTCGGTGGCGGCGGGAGGAGTTCTGCAAGGCTGCCGCCTCCTCCCGCCACAGGCTCCTCCTCTCTCTCCGCCTCTCTCGTTCTGGCCCTCCAGTCCGCCCGCCCGCCCAATCCGCAGCCCTCCACCCACCAGAGCCGGGCCGCTTGTCTGGCCGGCGGAGGCTGAGCGCGACCCTAGTGAGCCGTGGCGCCCGCCGACCAGGGACAAGCGCGACTCCTGGGACGCGCTCTGCTTCGCGCCACCGTCTCTTCCCCTATTGTTTCGGGGACACTCGGGCCGGCGCCGTCCGGGTCGCGATTCTCCTCCTCTTCCTCCCGGAGGGGAGGGAAAGGAGAGAGCCGAGCGTTTGCTCCGGGAGAGCGCAAGCCGAGGCCCCTGCCGCCGGGGCTCCGGGCTGGAGGAGGTGGAGGCGGAGGCCGAGGCAGAGGGAAGTGCGCGTCACTCCCGGGAGGAGAGTGTTTCACCTTCAAGCAGAGGCTGCGGTTATAGTTGCGTAAAAGCAGCAGCAGCAGCGGCGGACACTGGGGCTGGAGGGGCTCCATGGCCATGGAGAGGAGATCCGGACCGGGCGACGCCAGGAGCTCCGCTCAGTCTCTGTGGATCATTGCGTAGGCACCTGAGTTAACCGACGCTAGGCGGGGGAGGGGAAGGTAAGGAGCGTTGGTTTCGCCGGCCCCCTGCCCCGCCTCCTTTGCTATCCTAGGAGTCCATGGCGAGGGCGCAGACCCGGGTCTTTCGCACCTTCCCGGTCCCTGGAGGCCTGGCCCGCTTTAGCGTTGGGCATTTCTGCCGAAATGAAAAATATTCTGCTGCTCCACGCAGCACCCTCCTTCCCTCTCCCGCTCTCCTCCTTTCCCCAGTCTCTTTGGATTAGAAGTAACCAGACTCCTCTAGAGTCAGTTCTTTCAGTAAGAAAGGGTCCTTGGGAACCGTGTCTTGATTTCTTTCTTTCCCTGTGTTTTCTCACTACGTTTACGGGGACCGGAACAATGGATCTTTGAAAGTCTGTGTGAACAGCCTTAAACTTTCTGTAGAGGGCTGGGATTAAACCCCACAGGAAGCCGACTACAGTGAAAGGTTGATGGAATGTGCATTGTAGAGTTTTAGCTTCGGTGCGCGCGCGCTTGTGTGTTTGCGGGGGCGGGGGGAGATCTTTGTCTCCTTACTGTACCCCTGGGTTGGTGGGTCCTCCATCCCCCACTTCACTTTGTGTTACTTAGGGTAAGATGAGGCTTTTAAATAGCATGAAACGTTAAAGCTGGGGAATAGTTTTAGCACTGGACCCCACTCTGAGCTTTTCTCTGCAGAGTTGGGAGATCCTGGCAAAGGAGGAGCTCTTTCCTTGAGGACCCGAGGTGCTGCAGTCACTGCACTTTTCAGCAATAAATCCAAGGTCCTGACTTCCCTGGATGCTCTCTGTTGAGGGTTGATGTGTGTCACCAGACCTCTCCCTGGAGCGGAAACAACTCACTTAAATTCTCCACATAAGGTTAGGAAAACAGACTTTGATATATGTCTCCTTTCATCAGCAGTTGAGGATAAAGACAGAGTGCCCAATAATTTAAGAACTTTAATTCTGCTCATGAGCCTCTCACTACCTTAACTTCATTCCCTTTGTGCCAGTGTGACACAAAATGCCATCCTGCCCATTTGCATGTGTTGAGGGTGTGCAGATGTGAGCTCCTTCCAGGGAAAAGTGAGAAAAATTGATAAAAAGGGGGAGAGGCTTCTTCTGAGCTGAGGGAAGCCTGAATTCCCAGGAAATGACTGCTAAAATCAAATACATATAAAATAGCTTTTTAGTTCCTTGGTTGGGTAGAACAGAGTTCTTGGTTTGACAGTTGAAGAAAGCTTGCTCTTTTTGTAGTTGGGCATCATGCTCTGGTTGGATGCCCCATTACCTATTCAAAGGGTTCTTCTGAGTTTGTGTTTATGATCAAAGCAGAAGAAGGTGCATAAGTACGTCCTCTACTTAGTAAACATTGGGTGACCCTTTTTGGTGCTTTATCCTATTGCTGAAATGACTCCTCTCAGCTTTCTGTGTGTCTGCACTAGAGGAACTGGACAGTTTGGAACTTGGAATCTGTTTTCTGGCTTTCCATTCAGTCTACGTTGTGCTATATTTTTCTGATCTATGTGTACTTACATGATCAGAAAACTAAGGTTAGGATTGAACCCTGAGTCTTCCGCTGTTCGATTTTATTAGTCTGTGGATAAGAGAGTAAGGTGAGGACTGGGTGTGTGTGTGTGTATGTCTGTGCATGCATGTCTGTGCATGCACATGCACATGTGTATATACAGGAAGTAGCATCTGTAAATTCTTACATGTTGCTTGTGTAAAGTTTCTGTGTTGTGGTTAATTGAGTAAAGTCTCCTTCCTTGATCTAACTTAACTGGTGAATTTCAGAAGTGTCAAAGTCACAGTCACAACAGGAAACCTGAACCGTGCAACCATTTACTAGTCACATTCTGGTAGAATTAATCAAGTCTGTCCTCAAACAGCTACCTAGAAAATGAGAAGACAAGTGGGGGTAAAGTAATCTTGTGGGCTATTTTTGAAGTTGAAAGGGTACTCCTTTCTAGCTATGTGCCTCTGCGTAAGTTTTTGAAATTTAGAAAGATGAATCATGTTTCAGAATGAGAAAACTTTATCATTGCTTTCAAATTTACAGCTTGAGACTCATATTTGAAATGCTGCATGTAAATATCTCCATTATAAAGTGTTTTAAAACATTTGGGTCTCATATCCTCCATCTACTCAGCCACTGTCCATTCATTTAACTAACAATTATTAATTACCTATTGTAATTAGGCCATGAATTACAATAGACTTCTCTGGAAGGAGTCTCAGCACCTGCTTCATGGAGCAAAGTGGAGCAACAGAGGGACACCGGTGGAGTGGCAGCTGTTGTGGAGACCACATGGTACCAAGTTACCCCATGTGGTGGTCTCCAGCTACCAAGATGAATAAGACATAGCCTCCTGAGTTGCTGGGATTATAGGGGGGCACCACCACACCCAGCTCATTATGCACATTTTTTAAGAAGCCAGAGAAGGAACTGATTGGGAATGGGGTTGTGTTGCAGTTTTTTGAAAAATAAAATTTATTAAATCAGAAAAAAATAAATGGGACTGAAAACTGGTATCAGGGTGCCATTTTAGAATGTAAATATTGAGGGGCTTGAAAAGTTTGTACAGTTGCTAACCAACTATTTGCTACTGGGAAAATCCTCTGATTTTTCTTCATCTGTAAAGTGAGTTTTCAAATGCTTTATGGAATGTTCTGAGGATTAAATTGGATTAAGTTTGCTATGTATATGATAAAATACTACCTAAGCTAGTGCTATGTGTTATCCAAAGGGACTTTAAATATGTGTGTGTTTTAAAAGCTATCATTAGTTATAAATCATAGCTTGAACTTGTATTAATCAGAGATTTCTGATTTATTGGCTTCTTCCAGACACTTTTGAACCCCCTCTGGGGAGCAAGTCTTTGTTTTAGGTTCTAGCTATTGTTAAATGGTATTCCTCACCTAGACAGGCTTCTTCTCATCCCAGACACAGGAAATTCTCTGGTTTCATTTGGATTGTGAGCATTAATTAGAAGGATGAGCTTTCTGGTACAGTGCAACCATGGAGAAAGATTTGTCCTATAACATACACATATCACCCTGCCTCCCAAGCTAAGCTGGCCTTTACTTCCCTCTATCCTACAAGATGAATATGGGAAAGAAAAGAGGAAAAGAAAAGAAAGCAAGAAAAGCTCTGTATTTTTGAGACCATGAAAATCACCTGACTAGTTTTCTCCATTTGAAAAGAGTTATAATTTCCAACTAGATTGTTAGAGGCTCTTCTCTCAATAGCAGCAGCTGCTGTCTAGGTGAAATTTGAATCTGTAAGCAATACTTGCTTTAGTTCTCTACTTGAAATAGAATTAAGCTCATCTGACATTTTAATAAATTGCCTTTGATAGAAATCCAAACTCAGATATTTAAAGCTATTGAATTAAATGTGACTTTTTTGAAGAAAGGAGATGATATGAATGTAAATTTTTTTTCTGGACAGTGCTACATATGCTGAATCCTAGTATAGTTCCAGGGGATCTTAAAAATAATATTAAAACAAGGAAGTTGAGACCCAGAGAGGCTTACTAATTAGGTAAGGTCACATAGTAATTTAATGACTAAGCAGGGACAAGACCTCCTTTGTCTCTTATTTCCAGACAACACCCCCCTCACCATATATTCTCATTTATTCCAGTTTGGCTTTGTTTAACAATATAGTTATTTGAATGTTTTTATGGTCAAATAGTATGCATTTGAGCATAGAAAACCATTGCATACAAGTTAAAGACAGACCCTGTATCTCTTCATTTCATAGTTCTTACACATAATATGGTGATCATTGTGGGGTGATGTTACTTGTAATAAATTTCTGTCAAATAGGGAACAAAGTGTAAGAATAATGTTAGCTTTACTTGCATTTTCTAAAAACAGGACCAAGTTTAAAATATTGTAGAAGTGAACATTTTTTTCAAAGCAGCAAGTTCCTGGAAACATTGTTCAGATTTGTGTTGTGAATCACAGGATAAAAGCATACTAGAAATAGTTTGTATGTTCTTTTGTTTTTCCTTTATTTGCTTTGGGAAACCTTTAGTGTTGGTTGTTAGAAACTACATTCAGCAAATATTTTGTTGTATTTCTAAAATATGCAAGGTCCTGCTGCTTTCTGTGAGCAAAACAAAGATAAATGAGACATGGGGTCTTTATTAAAATACCTCTTAAAAAAGTGAAGCCGATTTGGAAGCTGTAATTATTATCTCCTAACAAATGAATCTGATGATCTGTGAAGCAAAACTGTTTTGAAATTGTTGTCATTAGACTAAAGTTATAAGCAGAGTTGTAGCAAGGCACATATTTTCATTATAGCATGAAGAGTGGTACATCTTTTACATTTATTGTATCAGGGCTTCATTTTAGTTTGGACAGTAAGTAAAAGTTTGGCAGTATTTGATGAATTTTATATAATGAAAAATTTGCTGAAGAGAGATTCTGGCATTTTTAGCTTCAGTGTATTAATGTGC